CGCGCCACGATCGACCGGTACCCGCCATTTTGAGCCGCCCCCGACAAATTGCGCGCGCTGCGCATCCCTCTTGTCGCTTCCTAACCAGAACGGTTTAACAAAATGTTTCTCCTCTAGGCTCTCGTTAATAAAAGGGATTTGTGTTTGTGATTTAAAGTTCCGATAACTCGTGTTTTCTTGTTTCCACCGTTATGAGATTAGTCGGGTCGTTTTACATGGTTTCGGATTTGTTTTGACGTCGGGGTTGTTTTCTCTTGGTGCTATGATTGTATATGCTTGGCCAAGCTATAGAAATTCTCGGTTTTTCGTCTAGTTAATTCCAAGGTCGATTTAGTTGCTTACTTAACATTACAGTTCTTCTGTAGTATTTTTTACATACCGCACAGTTAAACTGTACTTTTCCACAAAGATGCATCCTCGTCTGCAGAGCATCCAAAACATTGGTCATAAGTTTAACCGTATTAACATCACGGTCCTTCTGGATCTCCTGGCATATGTTTAACATCTCTTGTACAAGACTCATGTCCCCAAGCACGTCGACCTTTACGAAAAACAACAACAAACAACTCTAGACACTAAACAGAAGTAACTCTCTTTCCCACGTGACGTAGGCATATTACTTTGTCAATAATTCGTATCAGATTCAGACTAATCTGTTGTGATATAAGTGTTCGCCGGCCAATCAGCTCATCTCACCCCGCGGATGTTTTTCCTGCGGTAGGGGAAAACAGGGGATTATAGGCTGAGAATAGTCAATACCAATAATCCTCGCAGCTATGCGACCAAACAGCTACCAGGTGGCAAGTGGCGACCGTGGGAAACTAGAGTGGCTAAAACTGTCTTTGGCTCGTGTTGTAAGGGGGAAAGGGAAAGTGGAGACGAAAGTGATTAGGCTTTAGTGGAAGACTGGAAAGAGTTTTCTCGAGTAGAGAACATTTTCTTTGAAAGATTAATCGCCTTTTAATCGTAAGGTGAGGTCAGAACCACAGGGAAAATTATGACCTCGTAACCAACAGTGGTTGGTAGGAGCTGAAGCCAGGACCTGGGGGACACTGCGCTCTATCGGCTAAACCAACCGATCCTTCATTATGTACAGTTACATATATACAACAAAACAATTAAATACCCATAAGTTAGTGTGTAACATATGTGTGCGCGGGGGTAGGATATATATGAGGATTGAGGACTTCTATTGTGTCATTGCATTCAACCCCTGACCAAAACAAGGTTTTAACACCACAGCAAAAAATTTGATTACCTCTCTTCCCAAACTAAGTTCCTTTTCAAATAAGTAACTTCATAATTAACAATTATTACACTTGAACTACCCTTTGATCTCATTTATCCAATTTAACATTTTTAACATGGATGTTTAAGGGCAATTATCTCATGTTTAAATGCAAAGCTTTGTAACGGCTGTAGCCTACAAAACAAATAAACATTTTATGTTAGTATACGTAAAAAAAAATCTATTACAGTTGCCAAGATAAAAGCAGGAAATTTAACTGTAAATTTCCAACGAAAACAAACTAAGGTCAGAATTGCGTGAGGGATGTCGCCGAAACCGAGGAGTCAAACACGACCGAGTGATGTATCTGGCGAACGCACGTATTTTCGATTTTATATTCGTTATAAACACGGCAGGCTCGGGTGGAACGGTCGGTGATCATGAAGCCAGTTACTCACCAGTCACCGGTCTAGCGGGTACCGGTAGCTCCACGCAACCGCTACGTGCAACTATTAAATCTCGCCGTGACTAACTCATTCAGAAATTAAACCGAGGCCCTTGTGTTTGGGCGGGCAAACTGGGTGTGTTAAATCAATGTAATAGTATTTGCGTGTGCTAGTATAAAACAGGAATAGAGTTGTAGGTGGTAGCTATCAAGAAAGAGGTTCAGGCATTACTCGGAAAAAAATTTTCTCAGAGAATCATTTTTAGAGAATCAACGCTACGAAGTATCTTCGGTTTATATTTTGTTGTTATTTCGTCACTAACATGGCAACCCATAAGGCCCAATAAAATTTTTTAAATTTAAAATACATTTTGTGCTTATTTTTGAGCCAATTTTAAATTATAAAGGGATTCTGCACATCTCAGAGAGCACAGAATAGAAATTTTCTATTCTGTGCTCTCTGGCACATCTACATGAAAATATCTTTCATTTGGTACCAACCGCGTGTAATTCGGTCCAGTAGTATGGTCAGGCTAGCTGTCATAAGTTTTGCAAAAGTTTTTAAGCATATAGGATTTTTGAACGTAGGCTAATGAAATTTAATTTTATTAAGAAGGTGGCAAACAGCTGTTTTCCCTACTAAACCCTCGTATATTAAAAGAGTAGTGTGGGTATAAAATATTTTAATTTTAAAACACTTCTCAATTTTAAAACTTGCCATAAATAACTTGTAATTTTTTTTGTTAGTTGGCATCTACATGGCATTTTGATAAATTGTCTACATATATTTAAATCCCCCGGAATTTTAAACCTACAATATTTTGGCGGGGAGTCGGAGGCGGCGCAAAACGCGGGAAGCCACGATTCACCTACCCAGCTATATATTCGTCCATTCGTCCCACACTAACGGGATAAGTGTGGCTCGTCTGCCAAATATTCCGATTTATAATGACAACAGAACTAGCGCGATGTCACAACAGGACGGCGCGAACGTAACTCTGGCCACTCGTTACTACTGTTTACGATCAGATGAAAAGTTGCGGAATTTTGGTTATTTTATAACCCTTGGACATTTAGAGTGTGAATTAAGTTTATTTATTGACTTTATACTTACCGGTACCTTACATTGAATAGTGTCAATTCAATGGTAATGCAGTAATGTATACATACATTTATGAATTAAGCGTTAGAAAGTATTCTTAAAGAGACGAATAAAAAATAACGCACTCTATTTTCGTTTATTGGTATTATGTAAAAGCGGTTACAAAATGTGTTTATGTAAATTATAACAAAATACTTGTCAAATCTTCGCGAAACGATCGCATCCGCCAACTGGCAGAAATAATTAAATTTGAATCATTGTTTCAATGGATTCTAACCCTCAAAAAGTATTTTAGACTTCTCGCTGGAAGAACAAAAATTTTTTATTAAATATCAAAATACTTGAAAAATAATATTAAAGCTAGTATATGTTTGATTTATATAGAAATCTGAAAACCACCTGATCAACTTTCACTTCGCCATCCTCGATCCTGTAAAGAGTGTAAACGATTTCGAAAATCAAGTAGCTCGTTCAGCCGACCCTCCAACGAGGATATCTCAAAGGCTTCGACTTCCGTTCCAAACAGTAATTAATCTAGAAATTTGACAGACGCCGTAAATTATGTAAAGTAAGAGCGGTTTCCAGCATTATTACGCGGGGTAATTTAAACGCGTGATTTCCCCCAAATTGGCTTCTGTAGCTTCCTGCCCTGCCTGTTATTACCCGGCTGGGTAAATTGTATATCATTTGCACAAATGCAACTCGCTGTCCATTATACTTCACAATCGTCATACACGCCCCGTGGTGTGAAACGGTCGAACACCTTACAACCCTCCGGCTCTTCCGGCGCTGCTACGAAAGTCACAACTCCGAAAATGTAATTTCGTAAAACGTAATTCTGAAAAATATATCTCCATAAAATGTTGCTTCGTAAGACGTAGGTAATTTAGAACTACATTACCCTAAAAGATGAATTTTAAAAGGTTTGGTCGGTGAAAGGATATTTAAACTAACTTACAATCCGTAAAAAAATAAACTGTGTTCTGATAGAACTGAAGACTACAACATTGGACTTGTAACAGTATTTGGGCTTTTTTGTTCTGGGAGCGGGACACCTGTTTTGGAGGCTGGAATCGTTTCCAGACAATAGCTATTATGGCGATTCGGAGTCTAAATTAATTTGTTGGTCCACATTTATATAATATGAAGAATTATGACTCTTTCAGGCAAGGCTCTTACGTAATTACAGGTTAGACTCTTTCACTGTGCGAATGACCTCTCTCCACTACACCCAATTTCTCAAATTTCAATTTAGATCTGATTTATATGTAATACGATTATTGGCAGTAATGGTTTACAGTTGGTATAATATTTTATATGCCAAAGGTACGACTTGTATTTGTTTTTGCTATAGTTAATCTTATTCTATAACGTTTCCCACCTGAACGCTGTCTGTAAACACGAGTTTATCCCTTTAACCATAACCGTGTTAAGGTTTACGCACACGTAAAGTTGTACTTGAAATAAAGCGTAAAGTGCAATAACTCAAAACGCAACGTTACAGAGGATTAGACTCGTCATATAACTCTGAGAGCAAATAAAAAGATATAACGGCTTATAAAGTTAAAGGAAACGCCTGAGAGGGTTTCAGAAATATAAGGGAAGATCTGAGGGGAGGATTGGGGCGAGGGAAAATCCTTTTTTTATCGCGATGATAAGCCATTATAATTTGGAGGGAGAGGGCGCCGCCCTAGCGCGGGTGTGAACGTGAAAGCGATAGTATTGCGATTGATTCAACAGCTGTTTGAAATAATAGAAAACAAATAACTATATACTGCCGTCGACGCTATACTTAACACATACTCGCACGGCTGGGGGATTAGATGTATTTGAGTTTGAGGGGTTGGTATGAAATGTAGTTTAGCTATTATTTTATGCTTTATGAATCACAATCACATTTTCAATGCATGCGTCGTGGAGCAAGTAGTTATTTATATCACTAGACAAAAATTCCAGGGTTTCATCTGTGCCTTTTATGACTCTTAAACTCGTCCGTTGATTTTGTCGATGGCAAACAACACTGAATGATTTGAGTGTACGTATTTCCATTGGGGGAATATGCTGGATTGAAGGAGGCAGTAGACATTGCTCTAAAAGTAAGGCGCACAGCGCTACTAATCGCTTCGAAACCCATTATGCAACACGTCATCATGATAAATTAGGTGTTAGTGAATTATAAGCTTTGGAACACTCTTGATCAGAGTAGTGACTGTAAAGATACATACCCGTAGGCCGCTAGCGTGGGGTCGTATGGGTAGTAGCCCGTGGAGGGTTGTAGTCCAGCACTGGTCCATGCAGACATATCCGTCGTACCTCCTTCCTTCAGACCGTACGGGTTACTCTGAAAATACACATATATCGTTAGGGGGGAAAATATTGTAACTTGTTAGGTGTGGTCTCATGTGTTCGAATTGTGAGGTCAGAAACAATTGAGCGTATTAGTCAGTAATAAGCTACATTAATATAGGTTCTTATATTACAGGCATATTACTTCATTATACATTTTTCTTTCCTTCATATCTAGCTTAAAATACGCCCAAGTAGAGTCTTTATCTAATGGTGTAATAATATAACTATTATTATTGTTTCCTTTCAGTATTTGTTGTTTTTTTTTTGTTTTGCCTAATTCAAGTTTCTGTGATTTTGTTGTTGTTATTTTTTAGCATTGGATTGGATTGTGTGAAAACCTTGTTGTGTTTTAGGGTTTTTTTACCTGATTAAGATTCCGAATCTTTTTTGTAATAGTGATGTAAAATGCCCGCAAAATCCCTCAAATACAACTGAAGAAGTACTTAAGTAGAAAGGGGCTGCGAGAAAAAATGGCTTTTGTATTTGAGTGGACTTAATTTGCCTTTTAATCTGCTAAACGACTATCCTCAGACAATGGTCGCAATTTCATTGTAAAGTATTAAAGTATTAAAATTTTTATGTGTAAATATTTCAGAACTTCCTCCTCCCGTTTTGACGTGTTTTCGAATGTCCACCTCACTTTTTACAGTATACAGGATAAGCTTTTGGACCGATGAATCCATCAATTTCAGCGTCAATGGGAAAAATTAACTGCTAGACATATCGCCTACACTGGCAATATAACATTCCAATTGGCACGGAAAAATTTTACAAATTTAACAAATTGACAATATTTTTTTAACTCTTAACGATGTACGTGTTCCTTATCGGAATCTTCTAAGTGCACAGCTCGGACACAAACGAAGCCTAACCCAATGACGAAACCGTAGTCCAGCGGTCTTGCAATATTGTGATGTAATACGCAAGACCGATCACGGCCGCCATTTTGATAAAGTGACACATTTGAGTGGATGTATTGCGTGAAAGCCGCCTCAGAAATGTCACCATGAACCATTAGGCGGGAAAGTAGGTTCGTGATCACTTAGCTGGCCAGCGACTACGCCACTCACTCCCGTAGCGATGTGGTAGCGACGTAGCGACCAAGGGAGAAACCGGACAATAGGATGTTATTGGTGGATATTGGTGATTTACGAGGTCAATGAATCTGGGAAAACGTGTAGTTAATGTCGTGTCAATCGTCAATAAAACACCGAAGTGTTGCAAAACTACAAAAATCATCAGATCTAATGTAGAGCACTCGAAACGCGGTTTGCTGAGTGATAAGTCAACTGATCTGACGACCGAGTACCGAGTACCGCACCTGGACGGGTCGGCGGCTCGTGTAAAGGAACTGACTACGATGTGGACAAACAACGTGATAAGAGGAATCAGTGTTCTGTTATCAGTTCAGAGGGCCCGACATCAATCACCGTTATCACAGATTCACCACACCTTGAGGCGAAAGCTGTTACGCTGCTTCTCAGGCAGGTGCTCTGTGCCAAACTGATAAGTTTTCGAGTACGCTGCTCGAAATCGAGTTAACAGTTTTTTATAGGTTATCTCTTAGTCTACAAGTCGTGTGTCGACTTCTGTTTCATTGAGAGATTACCATCGACTTTTGATAGTAGTTGTCATCCGTCACGATCCGTGTACTGAAATTATACGTAGACAGAGAGCGTTGTCAAGCACTGATTCCTACACCAACTACCACATGAACTGCCACATAAACTAGTCCTCACAGTAAAAAAGTGAGGTATAAAATACAGCTTTAGTCGTCAGCACATTTTGTGAACGGCTCTTTAACTACGATTCTTTTAATAACAATTGACAACAGCTGATCCATATAGATAGGATCGTTGACTTTAGGATGTATACTTCACCATACCACATGGCATTTTTGATTAAGAATAACAATTTCCCCTTTCGAATAGGTGTGCAAAGGACATACATATGGCAGTAGGTAATCGATTCCATTTCAAATTTTAAGAACGCGGAAACCACGAAAGAGGTATAATAATTTCAAAACGGTTGCAAAATCGCACCGCATTAAATCAATTACAGTTAATAAAATATGGACAAGAGCAAACCAGGCTGGTGAAGTAATTTGCTAATAATTACATCAAATTGAACATGAACTCCCATTAGGTATGGTAATCGAATAATTTTACATTGCAAACACATCGTAAATTAATTATTACCGGGCTGTCATGAATACAAAATTCGAGAGCAAAAAGTAAAAGTATGGGATACAAGATTAATTAAAGATTGTTCTAAAGGATGTTAATTTTTTCGACGACGTCCTGTCTGGCAGATTTATGGTTGATAGATAAGCGCAACCGGTAATTTTAGTTAATCAGCGACATAAAAACTTTATTAGGGAGTTTTGCGCGCTTATTGTATAGTTTTCCTAGGGAAAGTTCTGTGAAATGTTAAGTAGTAGCAGACTGTTGTTGATTATCTTGTTACTCTGAACGTGTGTATTTTAGTTTAATACATACTTTGGCAGGTTTCACTAATTTAAAACGTAGCAACGTACGAAATACAAAAGAAGAAATTAATAGAATAATTTAAAATTAAAACCTATAAAAACTTATAAACCTGTAAGTTATGTCTGAATCATTTGTTGGAGAAATCGAAATACAATATTCGCCAAGCGAGAAAGTTTTCAACAAATGACAATAAATAATAAATAAAACCGACTTTTAATCACAGTATCAACACGCGTTCAAACGGTTAAGTGAATCCACGATTTACCATTCTGTAAATTATATATCAACATATTTAGACAGACGCGTCAATACGGGACCCTGTTCCCACCATACATAACCCGCTGCCACCTCTCATGAGCGTATAAATCAAGAAAGCCCGGGAAAGCGCGCGTGACCCAAACAATATCGCGGGAACGACGAGGAATAAATCTGAGTCTCGGCAATCTCGGAATATTTTTCTATCCGGACTGGATCCGAATAAAGACATACACCATTAGGGAGTCATGAATAAGACGGGACGGCGGGGGGCAACTGAATGGGAGAGTCATAAAAATACCACGTCATATGACTCGCATTTCTTATGAGCTTCAGCCGTGCTTTCCCTGTTGGCGGTTTATGTCTCCCTGAATGTCAAAAGGTGTGTTTTTGTCAAAGGTTTCCCCTGTAGGTCTTTAAATTTCATATTCCATTGTTGAAAGGATTTGCAATCTAGCTGGGCAAAGGGAATTTGACGATTTGTTACCGTCATAATGTTTCAGAAAATTTCACTGGGTTTTTTGTTTTTATATATAAACAAAATACAGTAGAATTTTCATGACAACAGCTGCAATAATATGTTTTCGTTGATTCAACTTCCCGCTGAAATTCACGGGCGGAGTATTTGTTTAGTAACAGTGAACAGATTTTTATTCAGAAATAGTAAACAGCGTATGTAACACATACAGAGTCGTATGTGCTTCGAGTAACTGCCAACTGTAAATATGAGTTTGTTTTATATTTACCTTCAATTTTAATGTATTAATTATATTCGTAAATCACCTAAATTAAATAACTCACAATTCGTAAATGATTTGCTGATTGCGTCTGCTGTGTTCTAGTGTCCAATCAAAAGGCCAACAATCAAAAATTAGTTCTCAATACACGCTGAATCCATAAATAACGCCACTTTAAAATAATTGATACATTTGATAATATTTTTATAGGTCTTATTTTTTAATTTGAAAATGAAGCCGATTAACCTGGAATTTGTAAAAAAAACAAAAACGAGTTGCATTTAACCACTCAAAAGCAACACAGTAATATGCCATCAGGAGAATCACTATTCAATTGCATTAGTGGCGGTGTAAACTCATTCTCAACTCACTTGGAGACTGGCTGCGGAAAATTGGTCTTTGGTTTGCTACTGCGGGCTCTTAACTTAACATTCATAGTTGAGAATGTGCTGTTAGTTTATAATCAAGAAGAGTAATGCTACACAATCGTCAATAAGTTAATTTGTGGTTTGAGTGAAAATTTAGTTTACTTAATAATACAAACCTTGGTGGTCATACACTTTTTTATAGCTGTGAGATAATTTTGTAACACTAAAATGACCGAAGAGGGTGTATTTTTGCAAATAGAAATTGAGTGCCTAGTTCTTGCATAAATAACCACTTGCTATAACATTTCGTTTTAGTACTGATGAATGCTTTCGTTTAAAATTCAACCTAATTCTATATGAACCAGCATCAAATTTCACCCATTTCAACATTTAATCGAAAATACCTATATTTAAAATTCAAACGTCTACTAGATTAAAGGAAAATTAATTAAATTCAGTACCAACAAACCTAATAAAATTCTTGAATCTCCCGAAAGTTTTGTAAGTTACAAGACGTATTTTCTAAAACATAAGGTTTGACTGATTCAGAGAGAATACACATTTGTCAGAAGCTTGTAACATTGTGAAGAGATACGACAAGACAAGAGTAACGTGTGCGATATTGATCGAACTTGTAAACCTGAGACAACTCACAACCTCCCTCTCTTCACCACCACCTCCCTCCCCCCCCCCGCACCAGCAAACACTTAAACTACCCCGTTATTAACTTGGAAATGAGTTTTTTACAAGTGCATATGCTCGTCCCACACTTTGTTTACACTTGTTCTTACACCTTAGCGTTCGTGTTTGGTCCGCGTGTTTTATTGGCTTTCCACCTTGGTTAGTTTAACATTGTACAACGACGCTTGGTGGAATTGCACTTTGTTTTAGTTCTACATGTGGGTAAAGAATGTGCTATGTACTTTTAAAAAATATGTACAGTGCATTACAGCTTAAAGTTTCAAATGTGTTTGTTTTATTTTCGCTAAAATTATTGAAAATTTAACGTTCTACAAAAAATGTTGTAAATCGTACTTACCAATTTAAATCCTGTTACGTGAATGTTTACCGATGTTTAAATTGTCGTTTGTGGAATCAACAAATTGTTTCGATACAAAACTTTTATAAAAGTAATAATAATAA